CATTTATAGACTGAAAAATGAAAACACAAAGCTAGAAGAGGAATTAAAAAAATATAAAAAGTCATTGAAAAAAATTAGGCAAAGATTAAACCGTTCTATGGAAAAAAATGAAAAGTTACTTGAAGTTATTGAGGAGAAAAACCAAATGATTCGTAGCTTTGAAGACAGGTCAAGCCCAATTGCCAAAAAAGATAAAGCCCTTGAACAAATGACCCCCGTTTCGAAAACGTGCGCATACATTGACCAAAATTTACCTAGTATTCGACCTGAATAAAGAGAAAGCGTGAAAAAAGTTTTGCTAGAACATAATGTAATAGTGGGCACTATAAAAGACAGCTACAAAAGTAAAAACACTCAAGAAAAACGATTAATTAAAGATTTTTTTACCAAAAGTGATAACATTAATAAATACAGTATGAAAACTAAGATGGCTACCTATTTAGGTCTTAAAGGAAAAATTCGTCACACTAAACAGAAAAATAAAAGCTCATTAATACAGACACAGTTAAGAAACTTTTATGAAAGGGATGATATGAGTAGGATGACAGCAGGGAAAAACGAAGTAAAGACACAAAAAAAAAAACAAAAAAACAAAGAAAGTATTTGCTTGGCACTCTACATAAATTATATCAGAAATATAGAGAAGAAGGAGGAAAATTATTATTTTCAACTTTCAAAAGGTACAGACCCTTTTATGTATTACCACCAAAAGCCGAGAAACGAGAAACTTGCGCTTGCAAGAGGCACGAAAATTTGCAAATGAAAGCCACGTCATTGAAGTCAATTGGATTAATAGCAACAACAGATTTTGATGAGTTACTGAGTATAGTTGTATGTTCTTCAAAGTCAAAGGAATGTGCTTACGGAGACTGTGATTTTTGCAAAAACAAACGTATTGATTTTTCTATGGGTGAAAAAGATCTAAACTATAATGTTTCATGGGATGAATGGGTTTTGAAATCTCATGAATACAAACCAAAAAAAAATTGTGATGTGACGAAAATTACGAAAAAAAACGTCATAGAAAAAAAACTGGTTCGCTAAAAATGCTCCTAGATGCCTTTCAAGAAGAACTACGAAGTTTCAAAATCCATTCCTACAATATCGTGCATCAGTACAAACAATATCGGCAGTGCATAGAAAATTTAGATGACCGTACTGTCGTTCTACACGTCGATTTTTCGGAAAACTATTCTTGCAAATTAGCCACTGAAATACAAGCCATGCATTTTGATGGGTCCAGACAACAGATCAGTCTCCACACTGGGGTGTTATATACCGAAAAAGGTCATCAATCTTTTGCAAGTTTAAGTTCAAACAAAGACCACGGACCAGATGCCATTTGGGCACATCTCTTACCTGTGCTTAAGTTGGTCAAGGAGAAATTACCCACAGTAGACGGGATTCATTTTTATTCAGATGGCCCAACTGTACAATACCGACAGAAAAAAAAAACTTTTATTATTTCGCAAAACTGACGAAAGAGTTGGGCTTTCCATTTTCCACGTGGAACTTTTACGAAGCATCACACGGTAAAGGAGCCGCTGATGGTGTAGGAGGAGCCATTAAAAGAAAAATTAGACTCAATTGTCGCTTATGGTTCAAATGTTCCTGACGCTAAAACAGCTTATGAATTTTTACAAGCGTCTGAAACCAAAATACAGCTTTTCTTTATACCTGAAGATGTCATGCTGAACGAATCAGTAGAACTCGTACCAGTGCCAAACACGATGAAAATACATCAGATTATTAACAATGTTGACTCAGCTAACTCTATTTCCTACCGTTGTTTAAGTTGCTTCTGCGAAAAGAGTAGACCAGGTTTTTGCGACTGTCTCAATCTGAAATCTGCGGACTTGCTAAAGCAAACAGAAATGTTAAATGAAAAATCTATTCCGTCTAAAACGTCTATAACAGTATTAGCTGACATAAAAAATACTCAAGAAAACAGGTCTTATTTTAATTTGAGACAATATGGACCATTCAATTTAAAACAAATAAACCTCAAAACAGACATTGCTAGCAAAAGTTTGAAAGAAAACTCTCATGACAGAATGAAGAAATGTTCAAAGAAAAGAAAAATAAAAGACATACACCTTAAAACAAATAAGAAACTTAAAACGGAAGAGTAGAGTAGTACAGACGAAGATATGACGATTTCTTTGCATGATACTTCTGATGAAGAGTATCACATTACAGATGATATATTATCAGATGATGATTATCTGGATCATATGGATTATCAATTGAAAGAACAGAAGAACGTTACAAATTTAAGAAAAATATCAGACACAAGTAAAATAGAGAGAGAAAAAATAGAACAATCAAGCCATGAAGATAAAAAAAATACATACACTGGTAAAGACACAAGAGAAATAAAAAATTTTTCTAATGAAAATCAGGGAGTAGTTAAAACTAATTTAGCTGAACAATCTGTGATTGCTACGACTCTGCAGGATGATGAAAATAACTTTGACAATGCAAAAAATGACTCGGAAGTGACATCAAAAATTAATACAGACATACGGAGGCTATCTTTCAAAGACACTGTACTTGTAAGGTATTATCAAAGAACCGCGTGGAAGTATTACATAGGATTCTTGGAAGACAGTTTTAAAAAAGAAGGAAAATCTTATTTTACCATACGATTTCTGAAAACCATTAAAAAACCGGAGCTAAAGTTTGTAAGTCACAAAATAAAAGATGAAGACACTGTAACTGAAGATTTAATAGTTAAGCAGGTTAAAATAACACAAAACACAAAACGACCAAAAGAATACTTTTTAGCTGATCCTAGCGATAAGGTTTATTTTGAGTAGAATATTTACAAGTAGGTAGATATAACATATATATATATATATATATATATATATATATATATATATATATATATATATATATATATATATATATATATATATATATATATATAAATATTCAAATAATGCCAAAATAATACGATTGTGTAATTCTAAGTACAAATTTTGATCTCTTTGTTTTTTAAGTTGTTTTATTAAATAAATAATTCTATCTATAATCGTATTTTATTTGAAATTCAATTTTTTTATTGCTTTATGTGCATCAAGCTTAACAACATTTCCAGTGTGTTACACAATTCCAGTGTGTTATCGTGTGTTACAAGTTCTTGTGTGTTATGGTACACTTTCTGTGAGCCTCACTCATCCAAGTACGAGTAATATATAATAATAATATGAAACATTTTAAATTGGACGACACACACGGTCAGTTCAACTGATCATTCCAACTGATCAGTTCAAACTAGGACCGTTGATATTTTTTAAAATATCGGATTTTCGATATATTGATAAATAATATATATAAAACTCCGATATTGATATATTTATAATTATCGATATATCGTAAATCCGATATTTTAAAAAATATCAACAGCCCTAGTTTTAACTGATCAGTTAGAATCATCAGTTGAACCGATGGTGCGCCTATATTGTCGTATAGCGGCAGTGTATATATCCATTACCCAATATCATCTCGTTAGTGTCATAGGAGGTGACAAAGGGAAACAGAAACAGGAGATGGGCATTAGCATTTTCCTTATAACAATACAAAATAACAACTGCGGTTGTCAACCCGCTTGCCAAGCGTGTTAACTATGGCAAAAACCTTTGAACCAATAATGGGGGAGGCCTTTGTTCTGCAGTGAACTTTTATAGGTAATGAACGAATGAATCTCTTATGTTAACATATGCAGACATACCAGACTAAGCCACTGAAATCAAATTAAATCTCTTTAATATCAGAAATATAATAAATTTACTATGTATATTGAGTATCAGAGTCAGACTCCGGTAGATTAAATTTCCCCATTTAATTATTTTTTGTTGTATTTGTCGTGAGGTATTTTTTTATTTATTCTCTAAAAAGGATTACATAAGCAGAATCAAAATATCAAAATATTACGGACAGGATAATTTTTTTGCCATATTGTTCTTATAATCAGCGTATCATGTACGTTGTTATCAAATACATAATTAAATACGTCATTTAAGTCATTCATTTTAGGTTGATGAGATGTTATTATATGTAGATTAATATAGCAAACTTTCACTCGTTTAATTCTCTAAACTAACTTGAATATTTTGTTGTAGTATTTTTATAAACAATACCCATCCAACAAAATTTGCCAATTTAGCGAACGACGTCTCTACCTATGAATAAGAATGTTGGCTAGGCTCCAGGTGGCTTTTGGTTGTACTTACTTCATTGTAGTCTCCTAATACCTATGACTAGTACCTACTCGTAACTTTAACTAGTTTACACTAACTTCTAGTTCTACTTGCATGCAACAACACTTAAGCCTGTTTTGTATTCAGAGCAATTAACACAAGTTTACTCATCTATCCCTAGCAAACTTTGCATGAAGTAATTATGTAGAAAGTGTACATAATTTGCGACAAATTTTCTAATTATTACCAAAACTTAGTGGGTATATAATGATGTATCTAAATACTACATTTACCTAAAATAAACTTACTCGTATATATACTTTAACGCCATCTATGAAAATCTACCAACAATGAAACTATAATAAGACACTCAAACGCTTAACGCAAAAATATTTCTAACTTTCATCCATAGATGGCGCTAAGGCAGACGTAAATAAATAAATGCTCCTTGTAGAAGTAAAATAATGCGAAAATAGAGGGCGACATTTGCAATGCAGAGCTATTTAGTAATGACATTGGTAACGACGGAACTCAAAAATAGCAAAAATTAAAATCTTTGGTCATGCAAATTTTCAACTGGCCATATTTAGAATAATACAGCAATTTAATATGTAAGGACCTAATAAGAAACAACTTTCATCTCTTTTAGATGTATTTCAGAAATTTGATTAGCACGACATATTCTTACATATAATAATTACGTTAAAAAAAACCTGTCCAGAAATACAATGTAAAATAATTTCAAAATATTTCTTACAATATTTTCTTAGTGTTTATTTAAAAATTCTTTTGCAGATTCAGACCGTCTACTGAAGCTCAGCTTTGGAAAAGCTTTCGAGTCGTTAGGACCGGAAGTAAGCGCTACAAGTAAGTTAATATTTAATTCATAAGAATTTGGCTGAATTATTCTTAATTAAAATTTAATAGCCTAACTTGAACAAACCTACAACTAATAATAATATCTACTTAACTATTTTAGCATCTACATCAATCCTAGCATAAATCTACTTGATATTTTAGTTGTAAGAAAAATATCAATTCATTAAATTATTATAATTAACCTTACTTTAATTTATTTACTAGGGCTTTTAAGGCACCTTTTTATCTAGTTGCCCATCTGGGATACTGCCACCGTGTTGCCTGTTTCTATCACCAAGCAGAATTATATACCTAATGCTGTGTTCTCAGGCGTGACAACGAACCTGTGACCTTCGCAGTGTTTATGTGGCCACTCATAGTCACTTGTTACTTTATTTTAAAAAAATCGTATCGAAGACTATGTAACAATAAATCGAAAACAGAGCTCATGGATCATAGAATAATTTTTATAATGTAAGACCGCGTGCGGTAAATAGTTTCAATGATAATACTAGGCGACATATGGTTCGAATCTTAGCCGTGTGGTTTGTAAATATCGCCACGTGAAATCGACCTACTACTACCACAGTAATTTATCCATGCAGTGATAACCATTATCATCCATAATATTTGTTTTACAATTTGACATACTCGAATTTCACAATGAAGTATTTTTCCTTCCTTTAAAAGAAAAGTTTTTTTACCGTACCTACTAAGAATAATCCAATATAACATACGATAGAGCCGTGGTAGCTCATATGGTTAGCGTTCGCTGTAAAATTCACAGTACGCGAGCAACCCGAGTTCGATCCTCGCCGGCACTAATGAAATTGTTAATTGCAATTTTAAGTATTGATTTATCACGTGCTCGGCCGTGAAAGAAAACATCTAGAGTAAATGAGTAAGTGAAAATAAGAAAAAATTTTTTTCTAAGGCATTTGAAGTTTGCCAACACGCATTGGGGCATTGCTGTGGACACTTCCTTGCCCTAAAACCCTCTCAGAAAGGAGAGGAGACCTGTGCCCAGTTGTGGGACGTATGTAGGCTATAGCTTTTAACATACGGTATTTTTAAGTGTATAACAAATAAATAATTCTTTTTTTAAAGTAAGACCGACTTCAAGAACAAAAATAAATAAACATTATTCAATGTTACTTCTGAAATAAAATAAAACAGAATGCATAGTATAACAAAGCCCCGATTTTCAGAAGCTATTTTTAAATATTTTACTTTTCTGAGCGGTTTAAAGACTAGCACAAGTTCAAGGTAACAACTGGAATGTTGTTTAAATAGGGACATTAAAAAAATCTTCGTCCCATACTATCCAACTTTCAGCATGGACTATTTTCTTTAAGTTATATGAAACCAGAGTGTAACCTTTTTATGAAAAAAAAATATTATCAATAACCCATAACAAATATGTAATAAGTATGTGCAAAGTAACAAAATATGATTTACTGCTTTTGTATATGTAACATTACATAAAACATAAAATAATACTGAATCATTTAATATTATAATAAATATTTAAGCTTTTGTCGTTTCATGATTTCCATAATAGATGACAATAAAGCACTATTTCGAAAAACAATTTTTCACTTGAGACTTTAATCAGTTATAAATGCGATGCAATTAAAATGTTCCAGTATCAATAACATACTTCGATTTGACTGTAATGAACACAAATAATTACATAATATTATTTGAATGTTATTAACAATGCTTTATCACTGCACGAGTTTGGCATAAAACTAAATTGGCGTTATATTATATGGTATATTACTTTTCTCCGAAATGTTTACCCTTTGCAATTAAAAAAAAATTGCAAAAGGTATATAATAAAAAATAGCATTATTATTTATTGAGCTTGCTCAAGGAAGGCAATTTACAAAAATGAATAAAATTTATTTTCGCTCTGTTATAAAGTTTCTTATGAGCAGGTAAATCGTCCTCAAAACGTTTTCACAGAGTTATACCGGATCGACGGTCTGTCGCCTATCGAGGAAATCACTGTGAAAAATGTGACAGAAAGTTTAAACATTGGTATAAGAAGAAGCCAGCTTAAAACGAAACAACTTGCCAAAATGGCAGGAGTTTTACATATAACTATTTAAATATTCTGCATGATCGTAGTGACATTTAAAAGGAGTGCGCTGAAAATGATCACGCCTAGACATGTGTCAATCATTCATTTCTCGTGACCGAATCATTCCGTACCATTTCGTCACGCATATCGGTACATTTGGATCGATCATTCAAATGGATCATTTCGAGCTCCGGTACCCTACGCTAAAAACAATTCATTCAGATCATTCGGGATTCGGTCGGTTTTCGATTAATTCATAATTCACAACAATCACAAGTTAAAAAGGTTCCGTCAATTGTTTGTGATTGATTGTACCGGAACATTCAAAAGGACAGATGAATGAACCATCAATACTTTTAAGTATACCGGCTCAAACGAACGAATCATTCACGATTGATACATGTTTTCACGCGCAGCTACGCGTAGCGTGATGACGCGGGGTCTTGGGCCTTTGAAGTTTTGGATCGGATAGTTACTGTAGATGAAACATGGGTTCATCATTATAGGATGCATGCAAGTTGGTCAAAAGACCTATAGCCACAGCTTTTTTACTCAACTGCACTAGAAAAAGGGTAACGTATTTCAAGTGTATGTATATAAGTATGTTTGTCTATTTTCTTTGGCACGTTATGTACTCTAAATGGTTCAATAGATTTTAACATTTAACGTGTCTTATATTTTGTGAAAACTACAAATGAAATTGATGTAATTTTACGGATTTTATCGCCTTTAATTTTAACTTGCAAGTTATATACATACAGGCTCGTCTTGATTGCGAAACTTAGAGCATAAGTTATTTCCCTATTGAGTAAACTTTTCTACGCAATCGGATTTTTTTTATTACTGTTTCAACTATTGGGCATATTGTTTGATATTCCGAAGGATTCCCGTTGAAAATGTTTCTACAGCTCAAACTCAATACCAAGCTATTCGCAATTCCAGCTATCTGGGTCAATAGCAAACGCCGACTCTGCCGGAGTACTTTGAATGACAAATACAGTCACACGTTGGAATTTAAATTTGAAACTCTTTAAATTTTGAACGACACATTAAAAATGCACTATTTGATGGCTTAGAAATACTGTTCAATTTTAATGTAACTAAAATAATGATTTAATTCTATTTTTTTTCAATGGTTCAGAAACAGAAAGAGAAACTTTTTTTATTCAATATGGATCATAAATAAAACTTAATGAGTCACTTTTTTCATTAATCACTGCATCACACACACGGAGGTTTTTTTTGCGATGCATGTGCATCCTCCTCAAAACCTCTGTCCTGGGAAGAACCAGCAAGAAACCCAGCGGGAATAATTTTTTAAATAAGAGCTTGCAATCATGTATGTTGCAATTAAAAACACAAAACAAATTAGAAATACACAAGTTATTATCATTCATAAATTCCATAATATTATAATAACCCTTTTTATATAAACTTAGTTTAATAAAGTTTTTGAACTTTGTGTATGTCAAATGTTGTATATTTTCTGGGATTTTGTTGCCCCAAGAATGAATTACTGACTCGGGGAATCTAGTAACTGGTATTACTAGCTTGTGTCTGTTCCTAGTATTTACAGAATGAATATCACTTATTTTATGCAAAACTACTTTTATTTTTGTGTACGTATATTACATTTTCATAAATGTATTGAGAGGCCAGAGTTAATATATTAATTTCCTTAAATTTTTGTCTAAGCGACTCTTTTGGTTTTAAATCATATATCAGTCGCATGTCCCCATAGCAAAATACCATACGACATTATGCTATGGCAATAGCCAAAGTAAACTAGTCTAGCTATTTCGACACTGGTAAGAGTTTTAATCTTTTTAACAGCATATGCTACAGAACTAAGTCTGCTAGCCAGTTTTAATGTATGGGGGCCCCATTGAAGCTTTGCGTCTAGTGTGATTCCAAGAAAAATGGTGGTATCAACAAGACTCAGCTCCTCCCCATTTAAAATGACATTAGTATTAACATGTTTGACATTATTAGTTACGAATCTCGTACATTTAGTTTTAGTTCCATTTAAATGCAAATTATTAACATTAAATCAATTGACTAACTTAGCTATGGCATTATTTACTACATAATAATTTAGTAACTGTATCATTGTTACCGTATAATCACATTGCTTCACTGTGGATTAGCATATTTAACGTACAATAAAAACGTACGCCTTATATAGGAATACTCATGTACCTACTACAAAAATTAAATTTACGAACTTGTAAGTGGTAAAAGCACGCATAGAAATCAAACAAACAAAAAATATTAGTTGAGAGAAGTTTTATTTTAGAAAAGTGTGTATGTTGTGTTACTCGTAAGTCACAATTTGTAACGGTAATTTATAGATTGAGTAAGGACCTGGTAAGACTTGCTGAAATTCGACGTGATGGAAGCAATTCCTTCAGGCCTACGTTTAACCATGAAGTAGTGATGAGCTGTAATATTAATGACGACGCCGAAGTTACAATTAATGATATATTCTCGTATGAGAGAATTCTTACTAGGTTACACGTCGTCGAGTACCGAAACAAAACTGTGTCTGAAGTCGAATGTTTGTTGAACAAAGTTTCGAATTGGGGATGACTAAATCTAGTCGAGTTCACACAAGTTTGCTCGTTTACCGAAACCTCTTTGCCGTATTTACCTCAGTTTTAGGAAACTCCCCTCGTTGCCTTAGCCGGAATCTGCGGCGTTGATATTGATGGGCAGTTTCGTGGTGACTTAGAGGTGAAGGCTAAATTAGTGTCGCTTGTTATTCCCAGCAGAGCGGGAAGTATTTCGTTCCGGCACACCGCTTGCAATTTTACAAGGTGCAGGTTCGGCTTCACGTAGAACACTGTTCTCATCCCTAGGCCGGGGCTCTCCAGTGCCCGCTCCTTCCACTTGACCGCACCCAGCGTAGAGCGGCTCGAATAGTTGACAACCGAGTTCTCTCTAATCAGCTCCATTCACTGGCACTGCAAATAAATGTTGCATCCCTTTGCATGTTTTACGATCACGATGAGTGTTCTGAGGAATTGTTCAGATTAATTACAGCCGCCAAATTTCACCAAAGCACATCGCGACAAAACTCACGTTCCCATCTACGTCATTTGAATGCTTGGCGGTAAATTACTTTGTAATGTACTAGGAGTTTTCTTTCTTGCACGTTTTCTTGTTTATCATCGGTGATTTTTCCGGACCGATGCGACTTAGGGACCTTCAACAACGAGCTTACTCCTTTTTTGAAAGGCCGGCAACACATTTTCAATTGCACTGCTATTGCAAAGGTTCATGGGCGGCGATTAACACTTACCATCAGGTCAGGTGAGTTGCATGTTTGTTTGCCACCTCTTCTATAGAAAGATGGTAGGACTTCATTTCTGCCTAGAAGTCCGTCTAGGCATGTACCCTCTTACCTATTTCTGTCACCAAATATGGTGGATACCTCATAATTTGACAGAGGCCCAAAAACTCCGTCATGTTGATTGGTGTCGTGAAATGGTTCAAATATTTAACCGAGGTGACTCAAATGCTGTGTTCGACATATGCACAGTGCTTGTATTGCTGTGATCCAGTCTGAAAGTTATAGGGTGCCACTACACACGCTGCTTTTCCAACCCTCCGCAGCCGAATCTTGGTTGGCGACGGAGCCATAGACCACATCAAAGTTTTTCCTGGTGCCATGGCCTTCACGCATCGTACACGGGGGCGTCGGTTGCGCAGGTGTAATTGGAGCCCGTGAAGAAAGGAGCGCCATGTGTTCTGGTGCGTCTTACTTGAGATGGTGGAATCAATAAAACGCAGTAGCCACTTACTATCATGTGGACTGCAAGTTCGTTTATCACTTCATTTTACAAAAGGAATAAAGAAGTTACTTTATATATTAAAGCACTGTAACTAAATAATCAATACGGAAAATGTTGAAATACCTTCAAAATTTTACACACTACAGGTCCCAAAATGTATCTCTAGTAAATCACGAAACAAAACAAAAAATTAACTTTCAATAAATAATCAAACAACTTGCAACGGGCTTTGCATTATAAACGTTGGCACAAGCGTAGAAAATAGCAGCCGAGCATTTAAGCTTGTGTGATTTAACTAGCTTCTATCTCGTGAAAAATGTTACGTAAGAGACCGTTTGGCACCCACCTTGCATCTATTGACGCCCGGCTTTAATATTAGATAAAGTTAGGCATCTTAAATAAACACCAAATTTTTTATCTTTTAGCAACCTTCAGATTAACTAAGTAATGGGATTAATATAAGTGATCTATATACTAAGAGACTCTTATATGTTAATCTGTTTTTTTTTTTGATTAGGTATCTGTCAGCCGTAACAGAAGCTCTGCGATTTGCAGGTTTGAAATTCTCACAAAGCTAGTTGTATATTATATAACCTACACAAAATCGTTCCGAGTCTGAAAATTTATTCACGTACTGATTATGTTTGTGAGGCGTTTGTGAGGATACAGGGTAAATGTTTAGTGCGGAAGTAATGTTTTTATAAAATAAATAAATGTGTACATAGTCCACCTGATGGTAAGTGGATGCTGTGGCCCAGAGACATCTACATTTGTCCTCGGTTAAGTAAAGTAAGACTATACACTTGCTACTGCTATACACAGGCGTACTACCATTTCAGAGAGCCGCTCTTCCGGTGTGTGTTAACGGAATATATAATTGCCTTAAATAGTATCGCTTTGCAGGGGTTTGGCAACTTTAGTCTTTTTACTTGTGCTTATTACGTAAACGCTTCAGCCCATCCCCTGGTTTGTTCCTTTTGTCGTACTTATGACACCCACGGGACGATGTGGGGCAGTGTCATAACTCAGCAACTTTGAAATTTTAGAAGTCTTATAGTTTTTAAAATAATAAATTTATGGAAATAAAGATGGTGTCGAAAAATATACGATTAAAAGTTTATCCGATGAGAAAATGGAAGAATACGTTTGTACGGACTATAAATAGATTTCTTTAATTGTTCATAGATATAATCAGTCCAAGCTCTTGGTTGTCTAGCTGGGTTGTTAGAGCACA